CCTAATATGACTTCATTACATTTCAATGAAAGGGAGCAAAATCGTGCTTTAATTCCATTTTATGTTCTTGTGCTGGTCCCAGCAATGAAGGATATTGGGCTTTAGGCACTGCACGGTGATCACTGATAAAGTAAAAAGGATTCTATCCAGTCTGGGCCTGGAGCGTTCCTTACCTCTAAAGTGGAGGAAAATCGGGGTTTCGAAATGTTATTACACAAGAGTGTGAGGCAACCAACTGCAGCTTTCTTCACCCTCATCAGAGAACAAGAAACTGCGGCTCAGAGGGGGTCTCACAGTTACAGAGTAGCTGAGCTGGAGTTTGAACCAGCTCTGTCCCACTGGAGGCCCCTCTTCCCAGCAGCCTCCCATGCATACACGGGTTCATAGTCTCTGTTCATAATCACAACAACAGCAGATGTTTCTATTTTAAAGGTTTTGAACAGAGGGTTGTGCTACTTTAGCAAACAAACCCTAAGGGCTAAGCATATACCCAGAGGGTTAGTGTTGGAATCAAAGCGTTAAATTGATATGTATTCCTTAGTATGCATAGCGGTTATTTTGCCAAGATAATCAGTCATTATATCTGGGAAATCAGGTATAAATGGCTAGTCATTCATTTACTGCTTTTACAAAGACAACATTTAACAGAATGGTTTCTTCTTACTTTCTTGGGTTTTACATATTTTTAATCAAGATCAGCATCTATAGTTTTATTTGATTCCTTTTCATTCTATTCTCTTGCCTCTATTCTAGTCCTCCCTGCCCATTACCAACCCATCACCCATTAGAGAAACATTTAGGGCCACAGCTCAGCCCTTTGTGGGGTTGGCATTACCTTTGACCCACCCCTCCCCTGCTCTGCCCCAGGGAGGCATCCTGGGCGCCCCGACTGGAACCCCCACCCCCAGCACACCAGGCTCCATCCTCTGGCCATCCTGACACACTTCTGGTTGGGGGTCCAGCATCCAGTAGAGGTCAAGTCCCCAAGGTTGCAGGTGAACCTCATAGTCCTCACACCAACTAGATGATGTGAGACATAAGCTGAGCGTGTGGACTTGGGAGAGAGATCACCTGCTCCTTTCTCTGAGCGTGAAATGGGGCCTAAAGAGTGTAGGTAACCTGCCTGAAGAAACACAGCTAGGTCGAAACTGGTGGACTAGAACAAGACCTCCTGTCTCCTCACCCCCTCTCCCTCCACTATCCCATAAAATGTGAAAGAGCAGCATATTTTATCTAGCGACAGATTACTCATACGCTTCTTTTTAAAAGGCATTAGCAGAAGCAATAAAAGATGAATGTATACTATAACTTAAGCAAGGTAAGGAGAATAAAAAGCACATATTTAAGGGAATAGCTGGGTATTTCTCAATACCAAAGAGGCTACCTGGGAGTGCAATTCTAACTCTAAAGACTTCTATTTAGTTTTGAGTTTTCTGGAGGCCAAGTTGAAAATGGAAACACATTGAGTTACACAACATTCATTATCTAATAAAATAAAAAAGCATTTGAGGTTTACCATAAAAACTTTATTCAAAACTTAAACTTAAGTTAAATTATCATCCATATGATAGTGGACAATGTACTCAATAACACTTTTATAAAAGATATGATTCTTGATAGACTTAACGCTAAATCTTGGTTCTGTCTAATTCTGCATTTCTTTGGAAGCCTAAAGTACTAGGGTCCAGGTTTGCACATTTGTTGTAACTTGATTTGATTCAGGATAGAGTTTAACATCTTTAAAGCAATAGTTCTCAAATATTAATACAGTGGGGCCTTGACTTACGAGTTTAATTCGTTCCGAGACAGCTCGTTAAGGAGCTCGTTAACTCAAATTACTCTATCAACTCAATGCAAAAAATCAGCCTAGAGACAGCTGGTATCTCAAAAAACTCGTTAGTTTAGTCGGACACTCTGGACACTCGTAAGTCAAGGCCCTACTGTATGCAAATAACTTAACTGGGAAGATTTTTTAAATGCAGATTCACACCCTGGCTCAGTTGGTTGGAGCACTGTCCTATACACTAAAAGGCTGAGGGTTTGATCCCCGGTTAGGTATACATGGGAGGCAAATGACTGATGTCTGTCTCTGTCTCTGTCTCTCTCTGTCTCTGTCTCTCTCTCTCTCTCTCTCATCAATAAACGTATCCTTAGGTGAGGGTAAAAATAAAAAACTAAAATGCAGACTCACTGGCCTCTCCACCTCTCCCCCTAACTCTGCATATCAGGGACAGAGCCTGGGTCTGCATTACTAAGGAGCTCCGGTTTGGATGGAGGCAACCGGTGGAGCACATTCTGAGAGACACCAATTGAGAAGAACAAATTGTTTCTAGGCTGCTTAGCTTTGACCAGCCGCTTTGAATATGAATTTTCTCCACTTAGTTGTTGATTCACGGACGACAGATTGAGGGGAGACAGAGGCAGTGTGAAGGCTCTAGGTTGTCGAGACTCCTACGATTTGCACCAGGCGTACAGGGAGCAAACACGGGTCTGCCTGATGAACTCAAAGCGTGAGGAGTGAAGGGGGCCATGGAAAGGGCCAGGAGTGGAAGAGGAGCTGGCACAGAGCAGGCTGGGAAGGCCCGAGCGAGCCTGGCTGCTTTGCCCCTTTCCGAGGCCCAGCCTGTCTGAGCTCTGTTGTCCACGGAGGAATCTGTGGCGGGCCTTGCTGTCTTTGCCTACAGCTTATGGGAAATTTTCCTAGAAGTCCACTCAGAAAGTTGGGATGAAAGCAGAGGGCCATGGACTCCTAAGGATTCATGGGTGGGCTTCAGGGGCCCGGAACCCTCTGAAATTATACACAAATATGTGTGTGTGTATATAGTTTTGTGAAAAGAGAGTCACAAAAATACACAACTTTCATCAGATTCTCAAAGGGACCACAAATGATGCCAAAGAGCTGACAATTGCTGAGAGTTCCCAGTGCCGCTGAGGCCTGAGCTCCGTGTTTGTACTGGGGTGTGTCCCCAGCACATTGCAGAGCTGACGTCAGTTAGCTGACCACCTCGTCGGTGACAGCCAGGACACCAAGTGTCCCTCCACAGGAGCCACCCTTCCTGCCCAGTCTGAGGATTCTGGTAGTAAAGTTGTCAGACTTGATTTTGACAACTTGTTTTGGGCAATTAATCCCCTTTCATTGCTCATGGAAACAGTAATTTCAGGTGACAAGATTGTTATGTGCTGCTTGTTAATGGGGCCTTTGGGGTCGAGAAAACACCACTGCCCTGTTCTTTCCCATCTCTGGCATCACCCTTGAAATCTCCAGATAAAATGTTTAGTCAGCTCCCACTCTGAAAGCTACAGAGCGCGGTTTCCTTTCATCCCTCTTCCAAGGGAAGGATTAGAGAAAAGCTTGCAGCCTTTCCTTGCAGCCGCCAGCCCAGGCCAGGCTCCACCACAAGCTTGCTGATCATTAACTTGAAAAGCTGGGGAATTTTCTAGCCCTTCCATTTGCTTGTTTACCCGTCCAGCCAAGTTGCTTTACAACTAAGTGAGTTGTGAATAAAGAGGGTCCCTGGTGATGAAATATTTGGCTCAGCTCAAGTCGCATATTTCCATTCCTTTTCACGTCCCTGAACAAGAGGGTTCGTTTGACCGATGGGTCAGGGCAGGTCTGCCTAATGGTTCACCACGTGCCATGGCGCTCAGGTGACAGGTGGATGGAAGGGAGGTAACTCTTCTTAGCAGTTTAGGAAGCTGGGAATTGGATGGCTATTTACTAGCTGTGCATACTGACTGGGCCATGTGTTTGACCTCCCTAAGCCCTCATTTCATCATCTGTCAAAAGGGGATAAAAATAATAGCTAGCTCATGGTACAGCTGTAAGGACTAAGTGGCTTCGTAAATACCTGGCAGATAGCAAGAGCTCAGCGAAACTGAAAAGACAGCATCTATTTTTATAAATACAATTCATTTCTCCTTTCCAAACCCAGATCTTATAAAGAAGTCTGAAATAGTGGGGAGGTTAAAGAAATAAATATAACACTCCAGCCCAACTTTATCTCCATGCCCTCAAAGCTTGTTAACATAGCCACATCTCATCCCATCAACCCTGAAATCCTTTTCTAAAATGCCGCAGATGAAGATAGAGATGATTACACTATCAGTTCAAATTGCTTGACACCGATTTCATTGTGTATGACCACATTGCTTGCAATCAAAGACTTCATGTGAAACTGACAATAAAGAATTTGTAGGAGACCCGTTTTCGCTCTCTGGTTCTCCTTGATGAAACAAACCAAAGACATTACCATCATGGTGACTTTTCACAAGAGTTTCAGGGTTGTTTTTTAGCAAAAGGTGTCTGTTCTTTTTCCCTACTTCCGCATCTATCTTAGGATTTTATTCCCACTCTTTAGAAACTAAATGCTAATAAATTTGCTCCTTCATGGAGTTGATTCTCCTACTTAAGCATTTCCTTTAATATTTTTCTTCTCAAATTTCATGAGGGCTCATACTCACCTTTATTGCTATTTCCTTAGGTCTGCATTCATAGCTTTTGTTATTATTTATTTATTTATTCATATTCATAGCTTTTATATTTACTTTAATCTTCAGCCAGACTGCAGCAGGCAAACTAAACATTGCACCAAGATGTTGAATGTCATCTAGGAATAATGGCCAGCCCTGCAGTTATATCCTCAAATCAGAAGAGCCTCATCTAACTGGGAATAGGATAGGAAACTGGAGCTCTGTGTGTCTTGAATGGCAATGATCTCTCCTTGTTCTTGACAAGCTTTCCTTTAATCTAGCCAATTGTAGAGACAAGGAGAACAGAGAACACTTAAAATTATTTCCATTCACTTATTTAGATGGGGTGTTTGGTGAGAGTCCATAGAAATATGGGTGATACAGAAGGCTAGAGAGGTCCCTGGGTTGCGTCCACATGACAGAGAAAATAACCCAAAGTACGTGTGTTAGGGACATTGGGATGTTTGGCTAATGTTTCTACACAAAAGATGAGCCCATTTGTTCAGTAAAGGTGTTGCTTGCCCTCCCAGCTGCTGCGGTCTGTGTGACACTCCTGGACAGACTTGAATGTGACCAGATCAACTTGCCCCATGATATCCTGGTGGAGTACCAGCCCCAGCCCCAGCTCCTAATCTCCAACTTCATCAAATAGCGGCTTGGACTGCATGAGCAGCCATCATAACTGGGCAGCCCAACTCTTCCCTGCAAGCTCAAGTTGTCATGTTGACATTACATATCATTTGTGGCATTTTCATAGAGTTCTCATCCACATGCTAAAATAATTTTTAGAGTGATTTTATAAAAACCCCTTTCTCCTAAAAAATGAATTTATTTTAAAAGAATTTAATACATTCATTAAGTTTAGATTTTATTTTAGAAGTCAGTGTAATAATTAAACATTTAAAACTCCTGAACTGTGACATTTGGAGTTTCATATGCAGCATTAATTAAGCTCATATCGAAATAGATCAGCCATTTGTAGACATGGTTCCTGGTCACTGTTTCGGAAACCCATCCAGAAATTCATGATAGAATGTTGTCAGGCACCCTCGGTATTGGTCAAGTGACAGGAATAGATCATGCACACTCAAAATATTTACAGAAAAAACTGTGCATGTAAGATAGGTCTACATTAAAAAGCAACCCTTTGGGAAATATGACCATACTTCTTTCTCCCCTTGCATGATCTCAGCACACCACGGAGTAGGATTAGAGGCTTACGTTTGCCTATGTTTGTGGTTTTATCATGAAATATAATCACGTTTATTTTCAAATGAAAACCCTCAGTAATGCAAAGATTCTCATTTTTCTTCAGAAATCACAAATGATTCGACCCTCTTCTAAAAATTTTTTTCCTTTGAAGGAGATATATTTTGAAGAGGCTGTATTTTTTATGTTATTTCCATATTTACCTAATAAATGGAGGAATTAGTCACAACTGACTTTAGACTTGAGTGCAAAATGTTAAAGCCTTCCTTTTGTGTGACTTTGAAGCAGGTCCTGCCCACACCCTGTCTGTCCTCCTATTCAGTTGGACCCTCCTATTCAGTTAGATGCTCCTGGAGGTGGGCGGGGGGGGGGGGGGGGGGGGAGGGAGAGGCGGCTCATCTAAAGCTGAAACACTTAGGAGTTGGGGAGCGTGAATGGGGGATGGGCGCAGGAGGCCTAACAATCTTGTATAGTATGTCACGTTGTGTATATATATTTATATGGTTGTGACTCAAAGTTTAATTTCAACCAGATGGAGATTATTGCATCTTTTTAATCAACGACAATGAACAACCCCCCAAAAGGTGCATCAGTTTGGGGATTTCTTTTGGCAATAGATATGTTTGGAGCACAATTTTAAGGCACCCCAATAACTGACCAAAGATCGGAGCTAAAAGTGAGGTAGAGTAATATTGTCATCATTAGTGGAGTATGCACTTTTCCCATCTTCTGTAGACCAAGTGGGAATAACCAAATGCTCTTCATAAGCTTTCAAACCCCAGAGGTTTGAACTTCTTTCTTGTTTGCTCCTAGAAAATCTTGATTTCTGTTTTATTGAGAGAAGAGGAGGCTATGGAAGAGACAGAAAAATGAAAAATCACGGTGAATCGTCCTGTCAACTCCTGACTGGGAGCGTGTGTGCCTGTGCGGTGCATCTGCATAGGTTCATGTCTGTGTGTTTTCATGGTATCAGCTGCATAAACCAGAAACTTGGAAACTTCTCTGGTGATTCTGTCTCCTTCTTTCCTACTCCAATCAATTGCCAATACATGTTGATTGATTCTCCTAAATACTTCTCCATTTGTCCACCAATGGAAAGCCTTCCTGGTCCTCAAACAAGATTCCATTTACAGCCATGACCAGCTCTTCTACTTCCATGTTTCACTCCCAAATACCAACATAGTTGAAGTTTAATGATTACTTTTTGGTACAAAATACACTAAATAACTTTCCCTGCCTTCTTTTTACCTAGTTATAGAGTATTATTTAGTACTTTGTACCCTGTAGGTGCTTAATAAGGACTATTCACTATCAGTCTCAACAACATCTCAAAGTCAGTTGGAATTTTATTTCTTTCTTTTAAAAATATAGCCCTTGACATTTGCAACTCATTTCGCAAAAGCTTGATAAAAAAGAACAAAAAAACCTATGGACCCGCTCTGCAAGAAAAGGCACATTCATATGTCTACCCCTGAATTTGCATATAATTTGAGTTCACATACCTTCCTCAGGCTGGGTCATGGCAGGATGTCTGTGTCCCCTGTCAAAGACCACAGTGCCTGTGGGTGGCCCCTGCCACACCCCTGCCTTCTCTAGCTTCTTATAATTACTCGCGCTCCAGCCCCCTTAGATCAGGGCTGGTAGCAGCTGTTCCCAGCTGCACCATCCTGTGCTGTTCCCTAAATTCTGCTCACCCTTTGTAAACAGTCCCATCAGTAAGTTCTGTCAGTTCCCCAGTTTAATTGTGCCACTTGATTCCTGCTGGGAACCAGAACACATTGGAGAACCCAAAATTTTTTTGAAAAACACTGACTTGAGAAACTGAAGTCATTCTATATGAAGATCTCCCTATTACATTATTTTTTCTACTGCAAAACAGAAGTTAGGATTTTTGTTTTTAAAACAAACAAACAAACAAAAAACTGGTAGAGAATTTTTAAAAAGATAATCCTCTATAAAAATATGTATTCTTGCATTTAAAAGTCCCATGGAACTCACCAGAGCTTGCAGCTTGAGAAACACGAGTTTTGATGTATTTCCCTAGCCGGGTGCTGGGCATCACATGTATGATAGAATTGAAAGCTTGAGTCAAAGACAGATAAATGGCCTCTATTGCTTGCTTCCGAGCTACGTATCCCATCATTCTGTCACGGAAGGAAATTAAAGTTGTCTGGCCAATACTGCATTGCAGACAGCCACGCCATTCCTTGTCAGGATCCTGTGTGCCTCTAGAAGTCTATGCACAAATATATTTTTTTGCGGATTTGATCTACAATTTTCATTTCAGGATTAGAGATAAGTAAACTAATCTTCGGTTATTAGGCTCTCACTTTGTCCCTTTAAAAAAAATAATAAAAGAAGCAGGACTTTTCCTACATCTTCCAGGACATTCTCTATCTCCTAAGAATCTTGAAATGATATCCAGTGGCTCCACAACCCAACGTCTCCTAAGATGAATAAATGAAAGTACTTATAATGTTCAACCTGCTTTATTATTTATTTACTTAACAGTTTTCCATTTCTCAGTTGCTTTTTTACTCCTTTCAAATAGGTGGTACTCAATATAGAATCAATTTAACATTTATTTCTCTAAAATTGAGCATAGCAATTTTCCCTTAAGAACAAAACCCCACCATTAGACTTCTTCCTCTCTGAAGCTTTAAGCATGATTTAAATATTATTGTTTTATAATAGAGCATATATTTAAAAATCATTAGGCAAAAAACCTAGAAATGAATAGCATATATTTTATAAAGAATTAGTCAAAATTATCCCACCAAAAGGTAGTTTCTTAGGGTTATGTTCATTTTTTCTAAATTTCTAAAATTTCTTGGAAAATACGTTATTCTCTATAAGTACCTTAACCAATAACATTGTGAAGCATTGGGCATACCAGTGTTAGAGAAACTATCTGAATAATCTGATTTTTTTCCCCATCCCTTGTCAGAAAAGCAAAAATAGGTCTTTAAAAATATGGATTCTGCCCTAGCTAGTTTGGCTCAGTGGATAGAGTGTCGGCCTATGGACCGAAGGTCCCGGGTTTGATTCCAGTCAAGGGCACATGCCCGGGTTGCGGGCTGTGGGCTCAATCCCCAGTAGGGGCGTGCAGGAGGCAGCTGATCAATGATTCTCTCTCATCATTGATGTTTCTATCTCTCTCTCCCTCTCCCTCTCTGAAATCAATAATATATATATATATATTTAAAAATTATATATGGATTCTTCTTTTCATTTTCATATCACTTTATTTTTTATATGAATTTAAGGTCCTTTGTATTTATATTTCTCCAGACAGCACAACCAAAAACAAACAAACAAAAAACAAACACTAAAACAGAATGCTGTAGTAAATAAAATGTCACCAAATTCCCACTTACTCTGGGTAAACAATCAGCAGTGACCTCCAGCCCACCACGCAGATCTGTTGCTTACACTTCAGGGTCCTCCCGTCTCCCTCCTTCCATTAGGACTCCGGAGGTTTCACCTGTTACAGAGCTGGTTCCATGATTAATGTAAGGTTGTGATCCATGGACCTACTCTAAGTAAACAGCAAAGGCTAGAACAGACATATTTGTAAAGGACTTTATGCAAGTTGCAATGCTCGGTGTTCTGAGAGAGCAAGACAGTCACTTCCTTTAAATGATTCATAGCATACTAAGTTTGAGGCACTCTGGCAAATACGTGGCTAACTGTAATTAAAAATATAATCTGATAGACTCCAAAAGAGAGGTAGAAATAAAAGTGCTTTGAGGATTTAATAGAGGGAATAAGCATATGAAGGGGGAGGGATTTGAAAGGTTTCTTGGACAAGGTAGATATTTGAGATGATCTTTGTTTAAGGATCATAATTTTAAAAGACTCTGGGGAGGATTTTTGCCATCAGAGGGAAAGGCATGAAATAAGACAACGAAGGAACATTTAGGACATATGACTAGAATAGTAAAGAATCCTGTTTGGCTGGGTCTGGAACGGTAATTTGGGGCTCTATTATTTGGAGCCTCAAAAGTCAGGTTAAGGAGATTGGACCTTTTTCCTCCACAAAGGGAAGTGGTCGAAAGGCATAGAGCAGGACTGATCAGAAGTTTGTGGGAACTAAGTGGGAGGAGGAGGAGCAGGGCTGAGATAAGCACCAGTAACAAGAAACTGTGCCTGGGTGTGGATGACCAAGAATTGACCTTCCGCGGTGTTCCGGGTTAGGGGAAGGGCAGAGATGGGCTAAAGGTAAACTGAGGCCACCAAAGACATCCTTTTCTTGTTAGACCTGGCAGCTCCCCTGCTTGTGAAGGTCAGGGCCTTCAAATTTTCACCTAAGAAATCAAGCAGCTAACATATTTCAGAATAAAAATTTCCCCTTCATGTGAAGCTGGTGTGTTTCTAAAGTCTTTCCTTTTGTTAAAAGGCTCAGGAAGGTTCAGACATGACAGAGCCAGAGCTGCAGCTGTGGGAGAGATGGCATTTAAAGGGCTGATGAGT